CGGCGAGTACCGTTGCCGCGTACACAACCGCTTCGGTAGCAGCGAGCGGATCATCTTTCTCCGCGTTGACGGTAAATCTTACCGCGTAGCAAAAATTATTTCTATAATCATGTAGACAGTATAAAGAAATAAATTAAGATATGACAGAGAATGCTACATCTAACAAACCTGTACATCATCTTTGCGACAAGACTTTGTCATCCGACGTTTAAATGTACTACTTGACACTATTATTTACTATTTAGAGGATGTTACTATTTATATTCACTGTTTAGATATGTATATGTATATATTCACAAACATACTCGTATGTTACTATTGTGCCTCTAGAACCACCGGAAGCGCCGAGTTCCGTACAATTAGCCGGAGCGAGTTCGAGGTGGATCCGCGTGCGGTGGCGAAGCCGCGGCAGCGGGCGTGTGGAGGGTGCGGGGGACGTGCACTACTGGGCGGAGTGTGAGCCGTTGCCCGGCGACGCCGCGCCGCCGCTCAACTTGACTTTGGACACCGAGGAGGAAAGCGTGTAAGACTGGACTTTGTCTGAAAATATTCCAGCTTCGGATGCGTATTTTAATATATTGCTTTGATATGAGAAATGTAATTTAAATTGTAGACCTGACTCCCAAGGATACCGGTCGCTGAGCGCGCTGGTGGCGGGCGTGCGCCCCGCGGCCGCGTACGCCGTGCGTGTGCTCGCCGCCAACCGCGCGGGCCGCTCGCCGCGCTCCGAGCCGCTGCTCGTCACCACGCTGGAGGAAGGTCGGTCAAAACTTGCTTAGTTTCCTTACAATTTTTTATAATGTTAACCAAATAAACTTAGTGTTTCTCATGTTTTTTCAATATTGATAAACAAAGCACAACGTGTGCAACTCTTCTTTTATTAAGGTTTTATAAAAATATCACTTATAGATAATATAATGAGAGTGATAATTGTTCCGTGTTTACTTTACTGTTGTATTTGCACGCCATGCGTAGAAGTGTTTTATAACCCGTGCCCCGCCTATGCAGCGCCGAGCGGGCCGCCGCGGCAGGTGCGCGTGCGGCCGGTGGACACGCGCGAGATGCACGTTTCCTGGATGGTATCTATTGTTTTAATATATCTCAAGATATCTAACATAAACTACGACTTTTGGAATTCCCATTGCTGTTATTTAAAGCACTTTATTTAAAAGTTTGCTTGAGCGATATCAAGAATGTTGAAAATAGAAACAAAAATAAGAATTGTATTGATTATTTTTCAGTTTACTTTCTCAGATAAGTGACAGATTATATATATATATTGTAGGTCCCGGTGCAGCACACATGGAATGGAGAACTAGTGGGATACGCGGTGAGGTGGCGAGCGATGGGCGCGAGCGGTGGCGAGGGGGCGGGGCGCGGCGCGGGGTGGGCGGTGGTGAGAGCTGGAGGCGCGGGTGGTGGCGGGGGCGGCACGGAGCTGCGCGTGCGCGGGCTTCGCGAGTTCACGCGCTACGAAGTCACGGTGCTCGCGTTTAACGCCGCCGGTTTGGGCCCGCCTTCGCAAGTCGTGTACGCCGCCACTGTGGACGGAGGTCAGTTTTTTATCATCACTTGACGGACTACCAGATTTTTGACTTTTGGACAACTGTATTAATATTTTAACACAACATAAATTTGTACATGTCATATTCATGAGTACTTAAATGATTGGAAATAAGTAAAGGTGTAACAAACATTTACTGCAACCAGTTGTTCTACGTACAAAAATAGATGGCGCCACCTGTATTTTAAAACACGATGTTGTATCACATGCGCCTTAGGTTAAGTCATTTCATGTACATTACGCAAATGAGAGAAGAGAGAGAAGTAAAAGGGAAAACAATTACTGTCTTCTCCACTTTAGTTCCTACGACGCGATTCTGAGTACATTAGCTTGCTGTATTGTGACTAATTTTATTCAGAATAGCACGGTAGTGTAGTTAAATTAGGTTGCTTGCGGATAGTGACGGCCTAATTTAGCAGGTAACCGCTTGCTGTTCTGTGACGGTTACCCGGTATCTGAACATTTTTTGTATCTGCGCGTGGTTCCCAACCCGGGGTTCGCGCGCAGACCATCTTACAATCTGGCGCACCACGTGGGGCAGAGGCAGGGCGAATCAGCCGAAGACCAACGTGGGGCAGGGCGAATTAGCGGAGAAACAACGTGGAAGGAAGTCGTCCAGTTACTATAACTTCTCCACTACAAAAACTGGCGACCAACGCACGCTGGACGAATCTGCCAAGTAAGAACGAAAGGTCAGGACAACGGTACAACATGGAACTTACTCCTGAGCAATTTCCACAGCTGCTTCAAGATAACCGCTTGCTGGATTGTGACGGTTATCCATAATTGAAATTTCAACACAGTGTCACTGAACTTAGGTTGCTTGCTGACAGTGACAACCTAATTCAGTAGATGACCGCTTGCTGGATTGTGACGGTTATCCATAATTGACATTTCAACGCAGTGTCACTGAAGTTAGGTTGCTTGCGGGACAGTGACGACCTAATTCAGAAGATAATCGCTTGCTGTAGTGTGACGGTTATCCAAAATTGACATTTTTGTGTATTGACATTGAATTGAGGTTGCTTGCGGGACAGTGACAACCTAATTCAGTAGATAACCGCTTGCTGGATTGTGACGGTTATCCTAAATTGACATTTTTTGACATTGAATTTAGGTTGCTTGCGGGATAGTGACAACCTAACTCAGTAAATAACCGCTTGCTGGATTGTGACGGTTATCCACAATTGACATTTCGTCTAG